TTGAATATAAATGTAGGTCTCCTTATTTAAAAAATGGTAAAAAATTGCAAGACAGTGACAGGGCATTAAACTCAGTGAGTGGCTCTTCACACAGAGCACTGCGCTACTGCATGGGTCACAGGCTAACGGGTCGCAAGCTCTGTTTATTAAGATTATATTGAATTTTGTGTCTCAAAAATCTCAATGTGCTTGCAGCGACTCATGACCTATTTATTTTCTGTTTTATGTGAATCACCATATATCTTGAATAGCCTGACTAAAAAAAATATCAATCACTCATTCCATAAGAATTTACCTAAGGACACAGATGTTATCTCCTTAACAGTTGTTTGTGCTTATATGATTAAGGTATTAGTGTTTTGAGATATAACAGGGCTCAGTACATGCCAGTATAGAAAAGAGACTCACGGTTTCCAGTGACAATGATTCCCTCTCTCAAAGTTTTGGTCTTTGCATGGGTGAAGATATATGAACAGAAATTTTCTGATTGTGACCGGAAATTACAATCTAGCTGATCTTCTGGCAGTTTCTCCACATGGGCTAAGAGTTTTTTGTCACTTGTTGGCCGGTCAAAGACAAAGCGCTTCCGTTATGGAAAGAAATGTCTGATACACTCTCTAGTCATGTTGGAACTTTGGATTTTGGGGTTCTTGCCTGTGGAAATAGAAAAAGAGTAGGAACAGCTTTCAGGCAGGGGCTGAGGATTTTCATTTCGGGGGATTCTTGTATAACTGAAGTCTCCTGCGTCTGTAAATCTTTTCATGCAGTCATGAAATCAACCTCATGCTAATTTACTCATGGCATGAAAAAAATCCAATTCTGCACAGAGCAGAGACTCAAGGAAGTGCTTCTAGAGAGGAATGGGAGACATCCATCCCAAGTGAAATAATTTATAGTTGGTTTCTTCAGTCCTTTTATGGTATCTGGTCGATTGACTATTTATTAATTTTTTAAAATTATTAATTAATTAAAATATGGTCAGAAGTACTTTTCTGATTTTACTATCTTCATGGCAGAAATAAAATGTGAGCTCAAAAATAAAGTAATTCTAGGGGAAAAAAAAACCCAAGATAGGGGAAATGTCAGAAAGAAGATAGATGATACCCAGGTCAGTATAGAAAAATTTTTTATAAATAAGAGCAAAATATATACACACCTTTAATATGTTTAGTAATTTTTTTTTTAGCAGAATCCTTCAAAGAGTAAGGCTAACCTTAATATAAGTTGGAGACCTCATCATTTCTCTATATCAGGTTATATTAGACTTGCCAGTGTCTTGCAGAGAGGGATTCATGGCATATGCCAATTGTTAAAAAAAAAGTTTGTGAAAGAATGAATAAATGATCAAATCAACATAAATGAATATAGCTTCCAGCTGTCATTAATTATCTACCCCCTAAGTATAATCCATGTGATAGATTTGTAATATTGAAATGATAATATATTGTGTTTGAAAGCAGAATTAAGAAAGCAATGTTATAAAAAAGGTAAAAGTAAGATATTTTTTGTCAGTCTTACTGAAAGGATATATCAATGTTTATTCAGGACCACATAGTATATAAAATACTTTACCTGAATGATATAACTATCCAGGCATTAGTACAATATGCTGTGTAAAATATGTTTTAAAAATCAGGTAAATTAATTTCTACATGATTCTCTATTTACCACCTTCCAATCTAATGGGCTATGTTTCTTGAAATAGAACAAGAGACACACTTAATAAATACCACAAAGATGTGGCCCTTAGGAAGTTATAGTACTGATTGTAATCTAGAATTTTTTTCCTGGTACTAATTAGTCTATAATTATCTGGTTAATATTGTGCCATAAATTTCCTCAGGGAGTTTAAATCTCAGAATTTAAAGACTTTTAATTAATAATTATCACTAAAATCATGGCCACCCATCAATCACCAATCACAATTAGCATGGGCTTCAATCCAAATAAAACTTGATATCAAGTGATGTATATCACGGTTTAGCTGATTCCACCCTCCTAATGAAACTTTCAGCCCCAAATCACATTCTAATACCTGGAATCAGCTTCAAAGCATTCTCCAGGTACTCATCTTCAGTAATGGGATGTCCATCTAACACCAGCTCCAATACGAAATCTCGTACAGTCCAAACGAAGTCTGGAAAAAAACTCACAAATTCAGTGGAGTCCTCTACGTCAGCAGGTCTGGGAGAGGACTTTGCCCTGATTAATCCTGTTAGTTCAGTCACGTAGCTGGGATCTTAGCTAAGGAAGGAGAAGTGCTCTCCACCACAATTTACAGATCTCAATTAGAAACAAATTTTATAAACAGTCCCTTTACCCTGGATCCCCTCCTCCTCCCCCATGACAATTCAGTCACAGAAAAGAAGTAGTATAACTGCCAGTCCATGAACTCATGAAGCATGGTGTTCGGTTTCTGGAAGGATACTGCAGCTGCTCCAGGGCCTGGTGGTTGATGGTGCTCATGCTGTTGTAGACAAACGTGCTGCTCAGAAGCACAGCCAGGGCAAAGATCCACAAGTCATTCTTAGGGTCACCCTAGAAAGCACATTAGAGCAAGGCACTTAAATCTACTCTCCATTCATTCATCCATTCATTCATTTGGTTGTTCATTCACTATTTTAGTTTTAGTATATATAGCTGAGTAGTAGGCAATTAACATAAATTTTGAAGATAATGTTAAATTCAAACTGCATTTTTGGCATTGACATAGACTCCCTCACTGAATGTGTAAAATATCTAATATGGGGGCCGGCCTGGTGGCGCACTGCTACAGTGCGCCGCTTGGGAGGGCAGTGGTGCTCCCGCCGAGGGTTCGGATCCCACATACAGACCGGTTTCCACTCACTGGCTGAGCGAGGTGCAGGCGCAACACCGAGGGTTGCGATCCCGTTGCCGGTCCCGGTCCAGTACGGGCGCAACACCGAGGGTTGCGATCCGTTGCCGGACACAAAAAAAGACAAAAAAATAAATAAATAAAATAAAATATCTAATATGGTCCCAGAACATAGCAGGTGTGCAGGAATAAGTGAGCCATAGTCCTTCGCAAACTTTCTCAATCATGGGCTACATTAGGGATACATAAGCTACCTGATTGAATTCAACAAAAATTCATCGTCTTTATACAAAATGCCAGATCATACATTTGGCTA